CTTAATAGCTTATGGGAAACCGCCCCATCGGCGTTGGCGAGGTCCAACAATATCCCGTGCAACTGCGTTCTCTCTGCTTTAGCCCTCTGAGTAGACTCAGGGATCATGGTCGCGTTTTCAAGGCACTCAGAATCGCCCGGGATTCCACCTTTCTGAACAGTCGGATCGATGTATTTGTTCGCCATCAGATTTTTTTCTAGTCACCTGGTCTTCTAGTAATTTCTCCTGGTCTCTGGGTAGTGAGATCGAACGCCCGTGTGTATTGTTGCGCACGTAAAAAATCCCTCGGCAGTTGGAAATCGGAAAGAGTAGAAAAACAGCGATGCCAGGGCAAAATTTGGAGTCGAAAAATATTTCAGTATCCTCGCCGGTGCTACGGAGCCCGTGCACTGCTCTGAGCTAATTCGGTTACTACCCGTGTGCCATGATGTTGATCCGTTGTTCAAATCTCAAACCTCCAACCATAGCAGTAAGAGAAAACGAGGTATAATGCAAACGATGTGAATCAACAAGAAATGTAAACAGACATTTCATGACCTGAAAATGACAAGAAAGACAAGAACACATTAAATTTCAAATCGACATCTTAGCACTCGGGCCGTTCCCACAAGCGCTACGTCTTCATCTTCAGCATCAAGCGCAGACTGTATATCTGTTTTCCTTTTCCCTGATTGTTGAGCGTCGGCCTGACCCTGGTAGCTTCTTGTGTCTGTATACGTGTGTATGTATATTTATTTGTGTGTTCGTTTGTGTGTGTGTGTGTCTGTCCCCGTGTGTCTCTGTGTGTGTCTGTGTGTCTTTACGTGTGTATGTCTGTGTGTGTGTGTGTGTCGGTGTGCTTTTCTGCATTTGTGTGTCTGTAGGACGCTTAAAAAAATTATCCTCCGAAAAAAACGCGCTCTAACCTAAGTAATCATTTTGTATGCTTTAAAATATAAAAAACCTAAAAATGGCTATTTGAAAACTGCCCCTGTGAAGAGGTCGCGGCTCCTCGGGGCTCCGTGGCGCACAGTTTGGGAATCACTTCTTTAGGAGTGTAATGATGTGAATTCCTAGGAAAACCAATTGAGGGGACAAAGTAAGCAGGTCAGGTAAACAAAAGAAAAGGAAGATAATCATGTCTCGATTATCCCGTGTTGTGTGACCAGGGTTTACGGAAAAAGCATGGGGTTGGAAAGGGAGAGAGCAGGTACAGTTAATTGTGTTTTAACGGTGTGAGATGTAGGTTGTTTGATGGTGCCACTGAGGTGAACATCACTGTGAACTAGAGGAACAGGGTTTGGCAGCTCGAGTTCTGATATGCCTCTTCCTGGGGTCACAAGGAGCCTTCAATAAACCCTCCGGTCATGTGCCCACACTTTGGGTCACCAATAACCTAAACATAATAGCTGACTAGAGGCTGGCTGTGTCCACAGCACTAGGCCTCCCAACCCACAGTCACTATCAGCCTCCATTACGATCAGGAACACATCATTCGCAGTTGGATCATGAAGAGAATTTGGGCTCTCACTGACTGACTGACTGACTTTCTACCCCACCAGGACATCACACAAGCGATAAACACCCGATGACACAAAGTGCCACCATGCGGATGAGGATTGCCGTGGAGAGGTCCCAGAAACCGCGTTCAGACATTTGGCCATATGTATGGCCTGCCTATAATGCGGCCCCTGGCAAAAGCCAGAGCAGGGCTTCAAATGACAAAAAATTTCGTCCTAAAAAGGACGATATTGGATAATTCATTGGGCTCTCACCGGCTTGTCTCCATTAAATACACTCAACTGGAGCAATCTGAAATATATCCGGTATTAAGTAGTTTTTCTGCTGCTATTTTGATGGCTTGAACTTGTGCAACATATTTGTGACACTGCTGTCCGGTTGGTAATTTGCCTGTATATCCGGTATTAAGTAGTTTTTCTGCTGCTATTTTGATGGCTTGAACTTGTGCAACATATTTGTGACACTGCTGTCCGGTTGGTAATTTGCCTGTATATCCGGTATTAAGTAGTTTTTCTGCTGCTATTTTGATGGCTTGAACTTGTGCAACATATTTGTGACACTGCTGTCATTCGCATTTGCCTGTATATCCGGTATTAAGTAGTTTTTCTGCTGCTATTTTGATGGCTTGAACTTGTGCAACATATTTGTGACACTGCAACCGGTTGGTAATTTGAAATATATCCGGTATTAAGTAGTTTTTCTGCTGCTATCTTGATGGCTTGAACTTGTGCAACATATTTGTGACACTGCTGTCCGGTTGGTGATTTGGCTGTATATGTGGTATTATTAGAGTGATCAACGTATACTTCTGCTCTCCCGTTTCTGATTGTATTTTGTGCTGACTCATCGGTGTAAGCGATCGAAACCCACTGCTGGCTGCGTGGATTTTTATCATAGTATGGGGCTTCGCAGGTCGATCCAGCCTAAAATGGGTACCAGGATGGACTGTCCTGGGAAAGTAAAGACAGCCGGCTTAATGCTGACCACATTACCCACAGAGTGCTGATGGTCTTTCAAAATATGGGCGCTCTTCCAATATGCCCGATGCGCCTAAAGGCGTGGAAAGGGATCTTTACTTTTTTTTTTCATTGGTGTAAACACGAATCTAAAATTGATGTGGGTATTCATCATAAGTAGACTGAGAGTGACTGTCCAACACTGCACACAGTTTTTTTTCCCCTGTGAACTACTCCTTTCACTTCTGTCTTGATGTGTAATGGAAACTTATATTCCTCTCTCCATGGGGATTGTCTGTGTGTGTATGCGTGTGTGTCTGTGTTTTGTGTGTGTGTCTGTGTATGTCTGTGCGTGCGCGCATTCATGTATGTATGTATGTATGTATGTATGTATGTATGTATGTATGTATGTATGTATGTATGTGTGTGTGTGTGTGTGTGTGTGTATGTATGTATGTATGTATGTATGTATGTATGTATGTATGTATGTATGTATGTATGTATGTATGTATGTATGTATGTATGTATGTATGTATGTATGTATGTATGTATGTATGTATGTATGTATGTATGTATGTATGTATGTATGTATGTATGTATGTATGTATGTATGTATGTATGTATGTGTATGTATGTATGTATGTATGTATGTGTATGTATGTATGTATGTATGTATGTATGTATGTATGTATGTATGTATGTATGTATGTATGTATGTATGTATGTATGTATGTATGTATGTATGTATGTATGTATGTATGTATGTATGTATGTATGTATGTACGTACGTACGTACGTACGTGTGTGTGTGCGTGCGTGCGTGCGTGCGTGCGTGCGTGCGTGCGTGCGTGCGTGCGTGCGTGCGTGCGTCTGTCTGTCTGTCTGTCTGTCTGTCTGTCTGTCTGTCTGTCTGTCTGTCTGTCTGTCTGTCTGTCTGTCTGTCTGTCTGTCTGTCTGTCTGTCTGTCTGTCTGTCTGTCTGTCTGTCTGTCTGTCTGTCTGTCTGTCTGTCTGTCTGTCTGTCTGTCTGTCTGTCTGTCTGTCTGTCTGTCTGTCTGTCTGTGTATGAATGTATGTATTTGTGTGTGTGTTTGTCTGTATGTATGCATTTGTGTGTCTATGTATGTTTGTGTCTGAATGTGTGTTTGAGTGTGTGTATGTATGAATTATGTATGTCTATTTGTGTGTATGTAGGTGTGCATGTAAGTGAGTGGTTGGGGTGTCTATGTGAGTATGTGTGTGTGTGTGTGTGTGTGTGTGTGTGTACATTCATTTTGCTAACTATGCTTTTGTGATTATTCTTGATAAGCATAATATGCATTTTTTTTTAAATATTAACATAACATGCTGTTTTGATAAAGTAAAACTGCTGTGTGAAAAATGGGTGTGTGGAAGGGCTGAATGTAAGACGGGCTTGCGTGCCCAATTTGTGATCCTTTGAAAATAAAGCTCGTTCTTTCGTTTCTACCGCATTGTTCACTCGCTCACAGAGGACCCCTGTAACATCGAGCGTGTCAGGCGTCAGTTTACCAGTAGCTGGAGCAGAACCAGCCAGTCTGTCTGCCTTGTAGTTGTACCCAGTTGTACCCAGTTGTACCTAGTTGTACCCAGTTGTACCCAGTCGTACCCAGTTGTACCTAGTTGTACCCAGTTGTACCCAGTTGTACCCAGTTGTATCTTCAACGGCATACCTGACTTCCAGATGGTGTCTGAAGCGCATGGGAACCAACTTCATTACTACTGAATCCATGGTTTCCAAGGCCCCACGTGGGTGGAGGGTGAACAACAGACAGAGATCCAAAAGGATCGTCACAGGAGCTACGGAATTCTAGCTTGTGCGACGCTCTTGTTAGTTGGCTATCAGTTCTGCGGAGAAAGACCGAACCATATGGGATTCATTTCTCGTCTGTTGTTCATATTCTGCTTTGTGTCGTTAGGCGCCGCAGGTATGCAGAGACAGGCATGTAGGAAAACAAAGGTCGTCTAGTTAGGGGTATAACCTTTAAAGTCGGAGAACCCCTGGCTCTTAGACAAGGAACCAACAGTCTGCATACAAATGATCAAATCTGTAAAACGGGTGGGCTTGCAAAATTAAAGTTCTAGAACAAGACACAAAGTCCAGAAGGGGATGAACAACCAGAAGTAGTCTGCCGGAGTTTACTGCTGGAGAACGCAAAGAGGAAGACAATAGCCACTGATTATCCCATACCTTGAGACTCCTACAACATCAGAGCATATCAGGCAACCGAGCGTGCCCTAGCCTGGATACCAATCATCTGTTAACCTGCGACGTCCTAATGGCAAACATAAAAAAATAGACATTTAAAAAAAAAAAAGAAACCCATAAGGCTCGGTCTATTTTCGCAGAGCTGCCAGTTGCCTGTCGAGAGCGTCGCACAAAGTTACAATTATGTAGCTCCGGCGACGACCCCCTTTGATCCCTGTAAACATTTTCAGCAACAGTAATTTCCAACAATATTTATAGTCACTTTTCAAGTTTAATTATTCATGTCTCGTCGCCAGATAGAATGCTGCCACCTCTATTCTAAGCTAGCTGGGTCTCATCAAATCCCTCATCACCAGCGCACACAACATTTGGGGTGCAGCAGTCAGGGTAGTTTAACTCCGTGTTGTAGCTGATATAGCAAGATGTACGGTCGTGTTCAACGTAAGAGCTACCGCAGCTGTGGAGAACAACCAAAGAAATCAACATCGGATTGTTATCTGATGGTGCGTTTACCTTAGTTGACAGTTAAGCTAGTAAACTTTGGGGCGGGGGGGGGGGGGGCAGGGGGGGGCGGGGTGTCTACATAGCTAAGTGGTCAAGTGGTCGTGGGTTCAGTTCACTTGTGTAATTTTTATGGAGATCCCTGAGGATCGTCGCCGGAGCTACTGAGGTCGTGATCTGTGCGACGCTTTCGTCAGGCAGCTAGCTGTTATGCGGAGAGAGAGACTGTGCCATTTGGAATAATATCTGGTGCCATGATTTCGATCATCTCACCGGTACCTGCACCAGTTCAAAAAAAAAAAAAAAAAAACTATCGATGACCCAGGTGTAATAGAACCTGTTTTTTTTAAATCTTGATTTGAGCAATTTCGATCCTTAAAGATTTTGAATGACCAAATGTTGTTCCGCTCAGTACTTGTGCGTTTCTTCTTTTTTTCCTGTGTGGTGGTGGGTGTGGGGTGTGGGTGGTGGTGCGGTTGGGGTGTGGGTGGGGTGTGGGTGGTGGTGAATAGCTGGTCGAATCTAGCGGAGTTCCTTACACCCCCCCCTCCCCCCCCCCCCTTTCATGGTCCCCTGACATTCCCTCCAATCAAATTCGCTCGCTTGCTCTATCTCGAAGATAGCATCACCGTGGTTCATCAGACTTCACTTCTAGGTCACGAATTATTGCGTTTTCCGTCAGAGACTAGGCGCTATCAGCCAGTCTAGTTAAAAGGTCGTTCTTGGTGTAGTTGCCTGGATTGGACATCGTGGGGTCTTTCTGGTTTTGCCCACGATGGCTGGATTTAAAAAAAAAAGATTATTGGGGATAGGCGCTTTTTAGAACCATCATCAGGGAAGGCTCAACCATAGGCCTAATGAACATCTAAGATCTGAAACAGGTGGCAACGACCCGCAAGACATGGAGATCTATGACCTCTGTCCAATGCGCCACCCTAGGCTCAAGAGAAAACACTAACTGACTGGAGGTCGTAAACCTTTTTATTAACTATATTATTTTATTATTGACTGTTTTTGTGGCGTTTCATTCGAAGACTGAGTGTATTTGCTTGACAATCGAGGAACCGTGTAATACTGATTACAGATTACTGATTTAAACCGGGCAAACCCATAGATGCTCTGTCTCCAGCAGCAAGTGACGTAAGGTATGGATGCCAACTGTTCCCGTAGCACACTGATTATACACACGCATACAAATAATTCACACTTGTAAAATGGGTGAGGGCGAGGCGGGAGGCGGGGTAGTGAGATTATTAACATCCCCCTCACCCCCCCCCCCCCCACATCAACCAGTATGGTCATGGAACCCCTGAGGGGGGCGACTTCTTCCTATCGTTTTCCAGTGCATGTATCTCACCACATGCCTTCTGCGTCTTCGGTTTTTTCAGAGTCGCAATTCCATTCTCCTGTTTCTTCCCTGTGCTTTTATTTCCTTGGCCCTACATGTTCCAGTGAAAAAACATACGTACATTGTTCTGAGGTTTTCTTTGACTGTCCAGGTGGCTCTCAGGCAAGCAGAAAGCTTATGTGATTTTCCACCTCCATTCTCAAACTAGAGGTTGTACACAGTTCTTCTTTTTCATCATCACCAACATCGTCATCATTAGCAGAAGCAGCAGCAGCAACTTCTCTTTCTACTTCTTTTTTTTTTTTGCTTCTACTTCTTCTCCTTCTTCTTCTTTTTCTTCTTCTTCTTCTTCTTCTTCTTCTTCTTCTTCTTCTTCTTCTTCTTCTTCTTCTTCTTCTTCTTCTTCTTCTTCTTCTTCTTTCTTCTTCTTCTTCTTCTTCTTCTTCTTTCTTCTTCTTCTTCTTCTTCTTCTTCTTCTTCTTCTTCTTCTTTCTTCTTCTTCTTCTTCTTCTTCTTCTTCTTCTTCTTCTTCTTTTTCTTCTTCTTCTTCTTCTTCTTCTTCTTCTTCTTCTTCTTCTTCTTCTTCTTCTTCTTCTTCTTCTTATTCTTCTTCTTCTTCTTCTTCTTCTTCTTCTTCTTCTTCTTCTTCTTCTTCTTATTATTATTATTATTATTATTATTATTATTATTATTATTATTATTATTATTATTATTCTGTCTTATGCCTCCCAATGGAGCATAGACCCTCAACCGACTCACACCAGGTCGTTCTATCCTTCGCTATTGCATGAAGCTCTACCCCCCCCCCCCCCTTTTTTTTCCTTCATTTTTTAAAACCTTGATTGGCTGGGCTTTTCTTGTTTCTCATTTTTACTTCTCCATGTTTGGCGGGTTTTGGTGGCTATCGTTCTTTTGCAAAATAAGGTAGCCAACTCGCCCAACCCTACCCTTAGTCACCTCTTGTGACATGCCTGGTAGGATGCAGTGTTACTGTTCTTTGTTTCTTATGAGGGTCCAGATAACTCACGGGCGTGCACACGGTTCTACCTTACAATAATTACCCAACAAATTCGGCCAAATCTTCATAGCACCGAATTATTCCGCATCCTTCCTGTTGTTGCACGACGTCACCCGCCTTGTAGTTTTCAGGACAACCTGCTGGAATATTGAAATAAATCTGTAAGAAATTACTGGAATATCGCGACAAGTGAAATATTTTGAACAGACAGACAAAGACAATGAGGGAACATTCTTGCCAGACTTGCTGGCACGATACAGAAAGCTGCAGTTTAACGAACTAAGACAAGCAGGCCACAAGCCACCTAGGAACATAAAAAAAAAAGTGGGGGGGGGGGGGGGGGGGAGTGTGTTGGCATGAGGCTCAGCTCCCTAATACGGGGGCGAACCTTGGGTCTTTAGCGCATATAGGGGTATGGGATTGCGGTGGGGGGAGTTGGGATGAGGCTCAGCTTGCTTTTACAGGAGCATTCTGGCAGCTGGAGTTTTTTTTTTTTTGGGGGGGGGGGAGGGGGGGGGGGGGTCTGTCGTCGGGGGTGCTAATATAACCTAACCTTTTAACGGGGTTTTCATCGGAAGGGTGGTACTTTGTGTCGTTGGGTGCTTGTCGCTCATTGTACGCTTTTGGTGTGGTTGAACGTCACTCATTTATTGGAAGGTGTTCCCCAAACATTGTTAGCGAAAGTGGGTGGGGGGGGGGGGGGGGGGGGGGGGGGTTTAAGAGGCGAAGGTTGAATTTATGCATATTGTCAAAGGCGGGTGTGGGTATGGGACACATCTTATGATTGTAGTGAATGTTTTTTGTCTGCACTGAGATGACTGAGACATGACCTGGAGTTCACTGAGTCGAACTGGCAACAGCTGAAAGTCGTGACTGACTGAGTGGTTCGCTTGCGGAGGTACGAGTAGTGTGCAACAGGGACTGAACTGAATGACTAACAAAACCAGCGGGCAGCTCAAGATGGGCGGGTTTTTTTTTTTTTTTTACAGGACGTGCGACTTTAGAGACTTGTAATAGTTTGACCGCTAAAGATGGTTTGTACTGGTTGTTGTGATTTTATCTAACCTTAGTCACTTTGCCCCGCACTCGGCAGACGCTCCGCGATCCTGATATATAGTTCAGTTGCGAAGTAAAGTGTTGAACGGAAGCGGCGTTGTTTCGGACCTGGGTACTATCCATGTAAACGTGACAGGCGTGAGAGGTGATTTCTAAAGCCCTCACGGTATTTGTTTCGGATAGGGGTGCCCACAACTTTTGAGGCAAACTGCCGTCTGTTGTATAGCCCTGAACATTAAAGGTTGCTGTGTGCTCTGTCGTTGTTTGGGTTTAGTTGGTTTTGAGGTAGATTATCTATCACTGGCCTACAACATGAGCCATATGACGTTACGACAGATATAAGGTCTCTGACACACACACATTTATATATATACACACACACACACACACACACACACACACACACGTATATGCATATTAGGAGGGCTGAAGATACTTGAGCCCTGAGGATCCGGCCAGCCTGTGGATAAAAGCAGTTGGAGATCGTTAAGACATGGAGCATTAATGTGATTGTCCACGGCACACTTAACAATGATAACAGAAGAGAATGAGTTAAGTCGACATTCTTTAAATCCAAGTCTAGTCTTAAGCCATTGAAACCAGTTTGTAAATCAAGTCTCAAGTCACCAAGTATGCTTTGAAGTCGAGTCTCACAGTTTCATCAGAAATGTCCACTTCTGCCGTTAAGCGTCGTATGGGGGAACAGTTGGCAATACATTTCTCGATAAACAGCAATGGCTATCTATTGTCATTCAGAGTCGATGCAGAAGCTCTTTAATGTCATAAATCAACGTTCTCCAAGGGCGACCTCTTACTTTCACATCAGATCTTTGTCTGTGCAGTGCCTGCGTTTTCAAGTCGCTCTGTCTGCATTCTCACTAGATGACGAAACCATTTGATCTTCTTCTTCTCAGCGAATTTGCTGTATGATGTTGTACCCACTATTTGCCTGATAATATCATTATAACTTTGTCTCGGATGTTCAAATTAACGGGTTTTTTTTCAGGCATTTCATTTCACAGGTGTTAGTTTTACATAGGTTAGTCTTTGATAATGTGCAAGTCTGGCACTAGTAAAACAATGTTAGTATGAATATACTGTTTATAAGAGTCTACTCTTTTGCTTGAATAATTCCTCATAAAGTGGGTTTCGATGGCCTGACTTCACTTTGAGGAAAGCAACAGCCCTATATAGCTTGATTCTGTTTTCCATTATGGGGAAATCCAAGAGGTATCGCATGGATTTACAGGAGGTGTCTCTAGTGTGTGCCATAGCGCCTTTGGCATCGGGAGACAGCGAGTTGAGTTAGCGCTGTACGGGAGCGTGGTAGAAGCTCAGAGCTTATTTCATGAACCTGAAAAAGCGCGTCTGGCGATTTTAAAGTTTGAAGCCTGCCTGGTTTCAGAATAAGAAGCACTAACCCTCCCGAGGCACAGACTTCTATGAGTTCGCATCCTGAGATAATAAAGATATTGTTATTGTTTAACCAGTGTTTGGCTTGGGTGTGTTCGTTAGCAGTGTTTATTGGTGATTATTCTGCAGCGCAGACATATAGAATCGCACCCTAGATATGTAGGTTTTTGACACTCAGCAAGGCACAAATCGACAGACTGGAAAAGATACAAAATGAAAAACAATGCGCATCATACTTGGCTGCACCACAGACACATCATTTAAAACAATGAGATACCTACTAGATTTCCCAGACATAAACAGCAGGCCTAACACGCGACAAGCGTGTGCCTACCTCAAAATTACTAAAGTTTGTACACACCAACTGCACGAGGAACTAAATACACGTAAAGGCAACAGACTAAAACGAGGCCAGTCTTGGTTGGGCCGGGCAGAAACAGTACTTCAACGGGTGATTTCCCTTTAAGATTAAACCGAGGAGAGGACTGGATACTCAGACCGAACGAATAAAAACAGTACATTGTGGTGGTTATCATCCTGACGAGACAGTGTCGTGATGTGGCGCCCTAGTAGTTGATGCAGGAGCGAAAGCAATGGTGGATGAACACACATCACCGGAAGATGATACTTATGCAGATGGTTCTGTGATTCGTCAGAAGTAAAGTGCATGGGCTTTCACGACAAGAACCAAAAGGAAAGTCATTAAAGAAGATAGTGGAGCCTATGCTTCGTCCACTAGCAGCATGACAATGGAGGTCATGGTTGTGGCAAAAAGCCCTAGAATGCTTGAAAACGCAGGAGTTCACCAATGTATGTTTCTAAGCGACTCAATGAGCCTGCTACAGAAGATCAAGGTGGGGCACATACGGTGCATCCATCCGATACAACACGCAGCACTTCGCAAAATCACCTTCATTGTTGTCCCAGGGTATGCTGGTGTCAAAGGTAATGAGAGAGCAGACACTCTGGCTGGCAGTACGACTATCAGGAATGGGCCCTTTATGGACAGGAGAGACATCATTTATGTCATACGAGAGAGTAAACGCTGTGAGGTTTTCAGTTTCGTAGAAAACGATTTTTCACTGCATACCCTAGGTATGTAATACCAGAGTGCCGGGTTCGCTGCCAGCTGCGGGTCTTGCGCCTTGCGATGGTTTCGACAGTGGTATCGGGAAGCCGACCGTCCAGCAGGCAATGGCAAACTACTTGACGTAAACTTGCCTAGAAAAACCACAACAGCTACAAAAAATGCTGGGGTTGGTTCTGCTACGTCCTATGTGCCATGAATCCAATCTCAACAATGAACATGTCAGACTCGAGTCACATAGCCCCACTCTAGGCCCGACTTCTAGATGACAGAGATATTGGTCGTGTTTGTTTGTGTCACCAGTACAATTATGGCTGTTCGTCCATTTCTGGAATTTATTATTGTTCCAGATCTTAAATTTGTGTTTACATCGGATTTTACAGATCTGATTTATTTCCAATTCCAATTCCAATTCCTTTTGAGAAAAAATTAAAAAAAAAACTCAACCACGTTCAACCTGCTGCTAGCTAGCCGAAGCTGCCAACAGTATCCGGCTATAGTTGTGGTCTTGTTTTTTGTGCCACTTTCGTGGCTAAAGTTCTGGTGTTTGAGACGTCTATGGGCTTATTGCTTCTTTCCTCCATGCCAGACCGCACATTCCCTATCCTGTTGTCAACTGTGTTCTTCTTGCCCTTCCATTTCTGATGTTTTCTCCTTGGTTCTAGCTCCTTCTGATTTGACCAGGCGTATATTTGGACCACCATTTATAGTTTAAAAATGTTAAGTATTTTACTTTGCCAAAAAAGAACTGAACACAGTTTGTGGGCATGGATATATCCGAAATGTGAAATTATTCCGCGTGTGACCATAGTGGTCTTATAGTTGTCTTCCTGCAAAAAGAAGCGGTTAATCATTTCATGGAGATGTGTGTGAAATGTTAGGTGAAGCCTGATTTATTTTGTCGCATTCACTTTCAGTCAGATGCACTCCAACTTCAAAGAAAACATCCACCCTATCTTTAGGATGATTGGGAGCAAAGTTAACCATTTTGAATCATCAAGTAGCATACGCCAGTTAGTTGGCTCTTGATAAAGACATTTGAATCATTGTTTACAATTAGTAGAAGACTCAACCCGTTGACTATAATCCTGTACCAAAGGAGTTTAAAACAGACGTTCCCGTCAATCTCTGGATGAGCTGAAGAGGGCGTTTCGCATAAGTGGTGTATGAGGTGCCATTCGGGGTATCCCCTTTATACACAGCACAATAGTCTTAAACTTTCGTTATCCTCAAAAAACGGTCCTAAATTATGGAGGCAAAAAAAAAAAAAAAAATACACGGTACAATATTCATAACGTACCCGAAACACGAGGAACCCGTGGGAATTCCACAGCTGACTTGACAGTCCAATATTTCAAGGCGTGCAAGTTTGCTGATGCTGTCGTTTCTCTTCTAGTGTATTTTGATGTGGCATATATCTGTCTGTGGGTGCGAGGTAGGCTGCTTGTCGCGCGGCGCGGAGAGGGGCTAAACTAGATGGCTGGGACTCACGAAATAAAAAGGAGGAAGCTGCAGGAAATGCGGTAGCTGCTGCTCATGAGTCCCAGCCATCTAGTTTAGCTCCGCTCATCACCGCCGCTA